CGCTTTAGACATTTCCACTCTCATCAGCACCAAGCAGATTGTTTTCCTCTCCATATTTTCATCATTTGTGTAGAAAGTGATGAATGGGCCTGAAAATGCTCTGAAATCCTTGTGAGACATCACTGTTTTTCTTTTTCAGCTGTTTCATTTCTGTACTGAGGACAGACAGAATCCAGCTGGGCCCCGCCCTGCACTGAAGGGAAGAATTAGCATTTTTCCATTTGTTTTGTTTTAAATCTGTGCATTTTAATCCCCATTTCACCACCGAGAAATCTTTTATAAGCATGCCAAGATGAAAACTTTGGATTTCTCTGCATCCTCCTTTCAGGCATCCAGCATAGTTTGCTTAAAGATGTTTTCAGCTCCAGTTTTAGGATTCCTGAGTTTTGATTTTGACTTTGGTTGCATTTTTTCTGTTTATTCCTTTTATTCGATCCTGGCAGAGGGCTTTGCAGTGTCTGTTAAAAATGTGAAAACTTGAAAACAGAAGAAGTTTCAGGCCTAAACCAATGTCACTCCAGCTGATGATCATTATCTGGAAGTCATGTTTCATAGAAAAAAGTCCACAAAAGTCCTGCACCAGACATAAGAGATGTTTTCTCCTTCTATTAACAATTTTCTGTAATGTTGTCCCAAATGTGCCTTTTTTTAAAACCAAAAGCTACAATGATCAAAGATTCAAATTATTAGTGATTTAAAATGACATAAAAATTCTGTTTATTCAAACTGAACAGAATTATTTAAACTTCCAAACAATATATTTAGACTTTATTCTATGCTTATTGTCAAAATAAAAGTCAAAGTTCTTGTTTTTCTCCACAAGTTTTGCAAATAAAGTGGATTTGGACCGAAGCATTTTACGGTCTTGATCAGCGTCTTTGAACATCATTTTATGGTTTTTGTTTGGACTTTAGCTGCTTTTTCCACTCACTTTTGCTCGTCTCCTTGTTTCTGACCATGTCAGCTGCACTTTGTTCTTAAATTAAAGACAAAAGAAGAAAACAAGAAACTGGACCAGATGGTCAACACCTCCAGAGCCTAAAATCTGAGTCACTGGAATCAAAACTCCCAGGACTGACTGTTGGGTTGTCCTCCGTGTAAAAACCTCCTTTCCAGATGTAAAGTTCTCTGAAAACAGATGAAGCTCTTTTCTTTTCTTTTTTTGGAACGTATTCTGTTAAAGGCATCTGTCAGACGGGAGTCTTTCATGGTAAAAAACTGCGTGCTCAGGTGACAACGACGGCTAAAACAGTGTCACCTCGGAGGGTCTTCGGTTACTTCAGACAAGTCCAATACTTCCTCCCACTCCCCAGTTCAGTTGGTCTCCCTTTGTCTCCCACAAAAGAACGTGACACTTTGAATTGCAGGATGTGATGGATCGCCCTGGAGGTCAGAAGCCTTTACCGGTGTACTGGTTTCATCCCAGCCCAGCCGAGCTCCCAGCCTTGAATAGGCGCTGCGGACCTGTGTGTGTGAAGCATTATTAGGAGGGGAGTCACTGAGGCATTGTGGGAAGGATGCCTCTGTTTCTGCGCTGGGAGGGTGGCCTGATTGGCTTCGTTCACATGCAATCGATCTCATTTAGGCCTCAGAGTTTCCACCTCAATGTAGGATATCAAGATTAAACATCTTATTTTTCATAGCAACAAAAAATATATTTTTTAAATTCATTAGAGCTGCAGAATTAGTTTCCTGAAACTGATAAAAAAATGGGATGGGAAATCTGATGGGAAGTTTGTGACTGATAAAAGTTTTCGAACGTCATTAGATGTTAAAATTCAAAATAGCTGATTAATTAATTTTTACTCTCATCTTGAGTTAAATTGTGAATTTATGTTTTGTTTTATTCCAGAAGGAGAAAAGGGGGGAACATTTGTAAGAAAAATTATAAATGAAGTTATTTAAATAAATATTCAAAGAAGCTCGACGCCAGAGCTTCTGTCAAAAGCACAACATGCAACTTCAAACTCGCTGTAACACTGACTGGAACAGGAGATCCACAGCCATCAGAAACTCCAACTGCCTACTGAGGAAACTTAAATAATTTCATCTAATTTGTTATCAGTAAAATATTCTTCAATTGTTCTATCGCTGATGGAACTTTTTTTTGTTTTTAGTTTTTTTTTTTAAAAACAGCTTTGGCATGGAAAACCGAGAGAAGCCCAGGAAGCTTTTCGTTACTTTTTCAAGATGTGGCCAGTGAATGGGATTGGCCAGCCTTTATCTCATCTCTATGCATGTTCAGGGTCTGAGCAGGACTCCATGTGCACTGAGGACTCGCTCCGATCCCGTCATCCAGCTTGCTGCTGGATCTGTGGCAGATCCCCCCTGCTGCTGCCCGCCACAAACAGAAATCCAGAAATCTAAAATTCAGTCAGGCATGCTGTCATTACAGGCTAAAAGGTACATTTTCTTCATCATTGGCTATAAAAAGGTCCTGAAATACAGCCTGTTCCTCCCATCTGAAAAACAAGCAATAAAAACACTTCATGGAGTGTTATGGTCCAAAGGCGGCGAACATTACTAACGAATACAAAGAATTGTTGTATTGTACATGTTTTACAACACCTTGGTGCATTCTTGAAACGGTAATGCTTGCGGTTTCCATCCACTGAAACTGGAAGCACATCTGGGATACAAGGAAGGGATCCTTCGTTAATCCAGCTCATATCTTACAGCTTCACACTTCCTGGAACCTGCCGGCCGAGATCTTTCCTGTCATTCCTGATCTGCCATTTTCATCTGATTAAAAATAAAAAAATAGAGAAAACATAAAAAAGGACATAGGTGTCCAAATCCCAGGCATCAAGGATAGATGTTCTTCAAATTTTGTTGTGTCTCTGGCTGTGTACCAGGACTACGTATGAATGAATGAATGAATGAATGAATGAATGAATGAATGAATGAATGAATGAAGTGGTACCTCGGCCATTTGATTCAGGTGTGTTTAACCAGTTACATCAAGGAGTTGGAAGCTGCTTAGAAGAAAAAACAAAGATCTACCAACAGTCTCTGCAGGAAAAGCAACCTGAATGTTCGAGGCAGGAGAGCTGGTCTGACTGGGGCGCTATCAAAATAAAAAATAAAATAGACAAATATAAAAGTAAGGAGCATATCTAACATCTTACTTAAATCCACATTTGGATGTATAACTCCCATTTAGTAACTGTATCACATTCCCATATTTGTAGTAGAAACTATTAACTAAACAATTAAGGAAGTAATTTAGATTGTCAGTCAGACAAAAGGAGGAGCAACATGTTTGTTTGTAACCTTTTGTAACAAAGCATGTCTCTAAATACATGTACATGTGTGCTGGAAATGCATTCACTCTGTTTCAACTACAATCTACTGGATGCCAAAACAGTGAAACTCCTCATTTGTGTTAAATCACTAACCTGATCTGTTGTGGAGCAATTTCTAATCCACATAGTTATCAAGCCTCTAATAAATGTTAATTTGTTTCAAAAAGCAGTTAAATATCAACATTATAGATGGAAAGACAAACAATCAAAGTTAGAAAAAATATATTTTGCCAAAATGGATTAATTTACTGATATGTGTCAAAAATAATCTTCATCTGCCAGTGATCTTGTTTCAAGAGAAATGCTCACTCTTAGGTAATCGGTTTCTTGATAGAGTCACATAATAATGTTTATTATGATATTATGACTTTGTAAAAGTTGAGGGTAAACATCAGAGCCACTGGCTGTGATGATCCTTTAAGTTTTGTTCATGTCTGAGTTGCAGCTGATCATTTACTTGAAGCTGCATCACGACAGGAAAACGTTTCTCCTCCTGTCTGTTATTTGTTGCTGCTGCAAACAGATGAAGAGAAATAAAGAGCTTCCCAAATCTAGGTCTCTTTTTATGTTTTTATCTCAACAGGTTCTTCTTTGATTGCATCATTTCCCAAATTTATTTCTGCTCCTTTATAACAACAACAAAGGCAGTTTAAGAGCCACGTCTGTCGTACCTGTCACCTTTCTGTCTGAGTGCCTCAAACATCTCTGGTCCATTAATGGTCCTGGTCACTGAGATTCTGAGATCAGCAGAAAATAAATGTTGAACTTCAACAGTTTGATGACCTGCTTGTTGAGCTGAAGAAAGATGACGATCAAATACTCGTGCAGATACATGAACCCAAAGGAAGGTGGAGAAAAAGGGACAAAGATGGGAACGAACTGTATGAGACGCCAAGATCAATGATGTTTCTTCCAGGGAAAATAAAAAATGTTACAAACGTCTAAATGTTTTCAACCTAAAAACAGCAACTTCATAACGTAACACTTTGGAGTCAATCTTCTGACATTTATTTGGAGTAAGTCATTGATATTATACTCAAAAATAGAAGATAAATTGTAAATAAAGTTGTTAAAAACAGATTAATAATAATAATAATAATAATAATAATAATAATAATAATAATAATAATAATAATAATAATAATAATAAAGCTGTCTCAAACATAAGCTGCTGTGATCAGAGACTCTGATGTTGAATGACCCCTGAGGCCCCTGAGACCCCTGAGGCCCCTGAGGCCCCTGAGGCCCCTGAGGCTCCGCAGGGCCTGAACCCCCCACTGGGCCTGATAACCTCTAATAATGACCAATCCGCGGCTTAACAACATCCGAAGCGGCTGGAAAATCAGAGTTTTTATTCGACATTATGGAGCCAGAATGAACCGTAAATTACTCGCGAGTCTCATAAATAAATGAATGATGGAAAAGTTTCTCCTTTCTCACAATGGCTCTTTTTGAAGCAGCCAAACTCTGACTTTCTCTTTGCCTCCTTTCTTCCCATCTTACCTCCCAGTAAAAAGGGTCAAGTGCTCCGTTAAAACACACAGTGTATAATTTTATGGGCTTTTCCCGGCGGAGGCTGCAGCGCGGATCAGGTTCAGCTTTGTCAGATGCTGAATGGGGGCGGAGGAAGAAAACTCATTAGACTGCTATAAAAAACAGAAAGTGTCTGCGATCATAAAGGAGCCTGCAGGAGGACAGAGAGCCACTCTGCCGGTGGAGAACCTCCTCACTCACTCACTCCTTCATCACTCAGCCCGTCAGCGCGCTCGGTGCGTGGCGCACGGACAGAGCCGCGGCGCGCTGCTCACTGAGAAATAAACTCGAGCTTGTTGCGCAGGATCACACCTTCTTTTTATGAGTATTATTGTTATTACTTTGAAACCGCGGTGTTAATTTAGAGGATGCTCGACTCAGCTTGGAGTAGATGCTGCTTTGTGCTGTTTCTCGTCGCTGCTGTGAGGACGGAGGCATCCCAGGTGTCCGAGGCGCGTCCCAAAGCCAACTCCATCAAGCCCTCTTCCCTGGAGGAGACGCCGACCCAGGCAGCGAACCGGTCCGCCCCGGTCACCAGGAAGCAGCGGCTCCTCCCGCAGGTACGCGCCTCCAAATCCTCACTGAACAATGATGTCCGCGGATTTTACGCGCAGAAAGAAGGAGGATAAAATCATAAATTCTTTTCCTTTTCTTCTCCATTGCTCGTTTTTTTTCTCTTGTCTTTTTTTAAAGCTTCGCAGCTTTTAATGATCCTGAACTGCGTTTGATCCGCTCTGGATCAGAATCTAACGCGCTTTATTATATTGATCCTGAACTGATCGATTGGTTTTGGTGAAACCTTTACTCTGCGTTTGCTCAAACAACCAATAAAAGTTTGAATTTTCTGCTTTTATGGACATTAAGGCGACATTTGATGAGGTTCAAATACTTAAAACTTGAGTCGGTTCATTAAATGCTTGATTTCTCCAAATGTTTCAGTTTTTACATTAGACAACAATTAAAAAGTGCTTCACGCCCTAAAAAAATTTTAAAGATATTTTTTTGTTTTCACAACTAGAACTCTATTTAGATTCTTTGACTGCAGAATAATGCAGATTGTTGTGGTTTTTTGTGCTTTAAGTAACCTGTTTTTGTTTCACAAAAAGATTGTAACACGTTTGACTGATCAAAGTTAAACTTTAGTTCAGGTTTAGTTGCCAGAGTGTCACAGTTTTTATGCTGGACACATTAAAATACCCTGAAAGTCCTAAAAAGTGTCTGAGTTTCTCACGCAGAAGAAACGTTTGCCAAAGAATTACTACTTTTATCATTTTTATCTACTTTTATAAAGCAAAAGTTTTACTCACCGTTGACGTTCTGAAAGCATTGAAGTGACTCCTTTTCTTGTGGCTTTGCAGAAAGAATCAAGGTGTCATAAATCACAGAGTTTACTGTTACAGATCATTCTGTGGGATAATTAGGCACTGTAATTAGGTTGCAGTGGTCTGAGAGCAGCAGTCTGTCTCAATGAGTTTAATGCTCCCAGAAACATCTGAGAAGCTGTTTTATTATCTTCCACATAAAAAGTAAAAGTTTTACATCCAGATAATTATGATCCTTTGATAATATTCAGGTTATGCTCGTATAAATGCTGTAGTTTTTAATCTAGACACCATTTAAGCCACTGCTATAAACATTTTTGAGTAAATTCATAAATATAATAAGCATTTCTGAAATCACAAGCTGAAGCTGAATCCAGTGTAGGTCTAAATATTGCAGTTTTCACACTTTGTTCCCTTTGAAGTGATCTAAATGGCATAGAAAACCCGTGAAAATGACACATTTTTGTAATTTAAAATGAATTAAGTTATGGTATAAGACGTCACAAGCTTTATTATAAAGGTTCTTTGATTAGAGTAGAATGTTACTTTCCAGGTCTTAAAGAATTACTGATCAAATGCAGCCCAAACGCTCTAAAAACGGTGGAATTGCCCTTTACTTAAGTGCCCAAATTGGAATTTATGATTCGGGATCGAAGTCCAAAAATCACAGAATAAAACCTGAAACAAGCTCTTCCTGTCATGTGCGAATCGTTAGTGGGAATTTGGAGCGTCGGACCCTCGTAAACCCCTAATTGCCTTTTCCAACCTGACGCCGCTGGCGGGAGCTGCAAGCATCCACAGTAAATCATTAATGCAGCAGAAATGTGAGAAAAAGTTAACACTTGAGGTAATTTTCTGTCTGGGTCTTAGTGCTGTTAAAGTGGTCCAGACGCTTGCTGGGATTATGGGGCCCTTGCGGGGCGTCTGGGGGCCACGCTAACGCCGCTCAGAATGTGGTCAGCTCAGGTTTTCAGCTCAGGTTTTCATCTCACACTAAACACACAATTGCTTTTCAACTCGTAATCTAACTGTTAGGACTTTAAAGTAAAAGTGCGGGTCGTTAAATCCGCCTCTCTGAGCAGCTTTCCGGCTCAGTTTAGAGGACTGATATCTGCTCTCGTCCGTCCGATTCACCTTTTCTGCAACATAATTTTGCTGTTGCGGTTGAAGTTCTTTAATACCTGCTAAGTGCCGACGGCCGGTGCTCAGAAGCAGGAATCTCTCCTCTGCGGAGTGTGGAAAAACGACCGCAAGCAGCGCTGCCAAACCGCAAACTGAGCGGCTGCTCCACCGGAGCCACTGCCGCAGTGTTTGGCGGACTGTGGGGGAAACATGTGCAGAGACCACCACAACGCCACGGTGGGTTTCCACAGGATCAGGGTTTTATGGCAGGTTAAAGATCCGGGTGCCTGTTGCAGAGCTGCTGCATCTCTTCATTACTCTGCAAAAACACACAATTTTGTCCAGTTTCTATTGCAAATGTCGTAGCACTCTTGAAATAAGAAAAATAAGTTTCAAAACATTTCAGCAAGATGTAGGAGCTTGTTTTAAATCTTCAAACTCCTACATCTTTCTGAAAAGTTACCCATGAGTTCGTTTTATCTTATTTCAAGGGTACTAAGATACTTGCAACAGAAATTAGACCAGAAATGCTTGGTAGATTTTGTGTTTTTGCAGTGCTTGAGGTTTTATAAATAATTCCAGGTTTAGTTTTGAACTTACAACTGCAGGATTTTCTTTCCAGACTGTGTCACAGTAGAAGTTTAAACAGATTCTCTCCATCATTTGTGAAGCTAATTACTGCAATTAAAGTAGATTTGGAACAATTTGCTTAAACAGTGAATTGTTGGGTTATGTTTTATCGCTCCTCTGCACTACGGCTCACCACCCAGGGTGCCAACATCTGAAGGTTAAAAGTTTCCCTATGGAACTACAATAGTTTTCAAAGACTCTGCAGTCTGAAGAGACATGCACCAGAAGAAGCCAGACAGCGAATCTGGTCGTAAAGGTTGACTGAAAATTATAATTATGAATTTCAGGAAGAGGTGAATCGATGAAGCATCACCTTGCAGCTTCACCTCTCATGGTTCTGACTCCACAAACAGACAGACTTCTCTACAGAAGCTGTTGTCAGAGCTCCAGTAATCTCTTAGTTATGCTTTCATTTTATCAGCGTCCGTTATTATTTTCATAAACAGTGCGCTGCTGTGTGATGTCTGCGTTCTTCTTCACATGCAGGTTGTTTGGGGTTTTAACTGTTCACACAGAAGTCATCGTTCAGTAATATGAACGACCACATAAAAACAAAAATGAATCCAAGAATTGGAACTGAGCGTGAAGACCTGCTGTGTCTTCACGCTCAGCCTTCATAGTTTAGAGGCGTGTGTGTATGAACCCAGGCAGGAAGCGTCAGATCTGACCACTTACTTTATTCAGTGAAAACAAAGATGAACTTTATTGAACAATCTGGGCAGCAGATGTCCATTTTAGGATTCCTCTGTCTCCAGAAGGCGACAGTTGAGGAAAAGGACAGGAAATAGAAAGTTTATTTGTTCATTTCGATGTGACAACAGACACTGCTGGCGTCTGATTGCTAGTCTTTGACTGGGCCGTATTAGAACCAGAAATGCATAGAAATACCAGTTTACTTGTAAAACAGAAAAAAGTTTGAATGATGGCAGCATGAGGTGGGGGAGGGGTCGCCCTGTTTCGCTGCAGTCTGCAGGAAACTTCCTCTAGCTGCATTAACGCCGCGCTGAACGACCACACCACGACCCAAATAGACTTCAGGTTCTTCTTCAGAGGTTTTCATCTCGTTTCCTTCAGTGGTCCTTGGTGCAGCGCCCCCAGAGGCGAGGAGAGGAACAGATTTTTCAAAAGGTTGAGATAGTTTGACTCAGTGCAATATGAACATAAACCGCAGCAGCTGAAAATGTAACAAATGTTGCAACTTTGGTTCCCAATCAACCCGACTATAAGGCGCGAAAACAACCTAAGAAACTCTCTCTCTTCCTCAATATTCTTTTTTATGCCACGATGTCATTTATTTACTGATTAAGAAGCCATTTACAGAATTTACAACAATATTTCACTAACACAAATCCTGCTGCTGAAAAACATTCACATTGCTAATGAGTCACATAAAGAAGAGTGATTTTATCACTGAAAAGCACACAGTATTTCATCATATTTGTTAATGATGAAGAATCAATAAACTGGTATTTACTGATACTCTCAGAAACAATTAGTGGAAAAAATAGTAACAATAAGAATCCCGACAATACAGAGAGTTTTAGACGGTTGTAAACATTATTGGTTGTTGTTTATTGTGGCAACAATGAATCAAAATTCTTATAATGAAAACAATGATCACTTTGAATGATAAAGATAATGATAAATACACCAGATTTGCTTCATATGCTTTTTTACATTCAAGTCTATGAATTTTTGCAATACTTGGTTTGTGCTAAGCGTCCCAGTCAAAGTAACAATCTGATGGACATGTTGTGTTTAAAAACATAAACAACTCTGGGAGAATTTCTCCCAGTTCAATTCAGTTCAGTTCACTTTGTTGTTTTCCTGAAAGACAATCCATTTGCAATAAGAAGCGTTGACGGCCAACACATTCACACCAACTTAACCTGACAATATTAATAAAACAAATGGCTCAGAAACAAATGTCAAAATGTCAAAAACTAAAGACCATTCGCAGAGTAAGATACTAACTGCTCAGGACTACTCCGCCTATCCCTCTTCACACAATCTGAAGGGACCCTCGTGTGTTGTTTCCTCTGCTGACAGAAGAGACCTGTGTTTATCTTAAAAAGGCGAACAGGCCCAGATTTCCCATGATGCTCTTGAACTGGCTCCTCTTCTTTGTGTGGGATCAGCGTGGAGCTGAAGACGCTGCCGTTCCTGGAGTCTCAGAGCGTCTTGGCTGTAAACACACGTGTTTTGCGTGATGAAAGCAGCGGCGTTTGAAGGCAGTGAGTGACTGGTGAGCCGTCTTCCCCATGTCATCTGATACTGGCCGTCTTCTGCTTCCAGGGCATGAAGTCTGTTTACGCAGCCACATTGTTTATTTGACTCCTTCGGGCCCCCGGTGCTCATTAACACCATTCATAGCTTCGGGTTTCTGACGCGCTTCCTGCCACCAGGAGACACAGTGACAAACACAAAGGAACCAAAGGAATCAAGAAAAGTAAAGATTTCACCTTTTTCTGTTAAAGGTCTTTTCA